TGGACAGAAACCTGAAACCACTTGGAAACCTTTGTTCCCTCAAGCTGTTGCTGCATTGCGAAATTATCCTGCATTGCGTTGCTGCTTGCTCAGACATGTATCCTATATTTTGTCATTGCTTGGAGGCCAAAGCCCAGAGGCTTGAACGCGTTAATGACCCAAAAAGCCCTGTCAAGCCCGTCTAGAAACCAGATATACCCTTCTGCAAACCCTTCTAAACCCCTAAAAAGGCCTAAACCCAAACCACCCCCCAATGCCTTTAAACCCAAAGAGCCCTTGTAGCCCATAAAACATGAACAGATTAAGTTATAAACTCCACCCTCCTCCCTCGTTCTCCAAGCCATGCTAAAGGCGAGGCGGCGACTTCGGCCCAGGGCGTGCGCCCAGCTGGGCGCCGGTCTCGGCTGTGGTGTTTTTTTTGTTGGTATTGGTGTTAATGTTGTGGCTTTTGTTGCCGCGTGTGTGTGTGTGTGTTCTTTTTTGTCGAAGGGATGCTCATTTTTTCCGATGCAGTTTTTGTTATAAGTAGGTTGTTTAAGTTGTAGCGTGTGCTTCACTTCAACAACTGCTCGGGTGGTGGCGTCAGGGTTTGGTGCTGCTGTCGGTCCTTTTGCGTTCCTATGCGTGCGTGGTCTGTTGAGAAACCAGAACCGTTTTCTTCGGCACGCTTATTGGGTCCGAATATTGATCGAAGGTTTCGAGAGAGAGAGAGAGAACACGCGAAGATAAACGAATGTGGGATTTTCTTAATGCGAGGGGCTCTTTGTCTAAATCTCAGGGTGTCCTTACATCAAGGATCTTGCTGCTTAGGGCTCTATAGTTGGAACTTAATTTGTTTCTGAAACTCCCATGTCAAGATGAATGCAACCAGCACAAAGCGACCCTTCCAGCCCCACGTGCCTTACCTAGAGAGCCCAGATCCTGAAATTAAGGAATGTGACTTTGAATACTACATACTCTCAGACATGTAGTCCTGAAGGAAGGTGTAATTTCGGCCTTCTGGTCCGTTGTGCTCCGGATCCAAGGCTACGTCTCCAGACGTGGTGCCTCATGCAGTTCCGCTCTCGGTCTGTCATGTTCTGTGCAGTGTCAGTGTTATCCTCTTCTTGTTTCTGGGGATTTCGGCCGAAGAGTAGGCTCGCATGCAGCAAGTCGTTCGAAATAGAAACCAAGCTAAGATCCGAGTTGGCGGCAAGGAACCTTCATCGCTTCCTGGATAGCTTTCAGGGTAAGGTTTGAAATGATAAATAGAACATATAACAATGTATAACAAGTTATAATGATACAGAGACATGTAGTACAATATGTGACGATACCTAATATTATGTACCCATACATACATACATGCATGCATACATACATACATACATACCTACATACATACATACATACATACATACATACATACCGATAGAGTAATAGTTAGTAATATGTAATATTATACAACAATGCACAGTAGTATGTTATATCATAATGTGTCACAGTACATACCATATACATGTATATATATATATACATGTGTATATATATATATACATGTATATGTATATGTGTATACACATAAACAGGTACACATATGTAACAACACCTAACAATATGCAGTACCATATAACAGTACATACAAATATGTATACATCATATTTTTTAATGGTACATTACACGAATATATGTTAATATGTAACACGACCTAACAAAACTTAAGAAGCTACAATATTGCATAATATCGCTTAATTAATAATTCACAACAATGCTTACGAATATCTTGAAAATATATCGCATGCTAGCATAAACTTATGACATACAACATACAATAAGACACATGCACATAATTAAGTATATTACACACACATGTATGAATAAATGAATATTATAGATGTACATACATACATACATACATACATACACATACATACATACATACATACATACATACATGTGTTAGTTATATATATATATGTATGCATATATCTATATATATATATGTATAAATGTGTATGTATGTACGCACGTATGTATG